TTGTGTCCTCTCTACCCCCCCCCCACCCCCCCACTTCCCTCCCACCATCATCATGAAGGCAATTATAAGACAGTGGGGGAAACAAGTTTAATAATAGTAATCTTTAATAATAAAATAATTTAATAATAATAATTTAATAATAATATTTTTTGATAAAAGGTTTAATAATAATTAAACCTTTAATAATAATAATCTTTGCATGTGACATAGCGCCTAATCATGTGGTCGAGACATCTCCAAGCGCTTCACAGGGTAAAGTGTAGTGACTGTGTGCTTTGTGTGTGAAATGCAGCAGCCAATAGCACATAGCAGTGCCCACAAACAGTCCTTATTTTTGCGGGGAGGGATTATTACCTCGGAAAAACAATCGATTAACCACCAGGTTCCTACGTACTGCTGGTGAACAGAGGCGTGTGTGTGGAGTAAGGTTTTTCCCTGACCCGCCCGGGAACAGAACCCGGGTCCTCTCTTTCTGTACAATTGAGATTTGTACATTTGAAATCTGGGGCAGTTTTTCACCCAAAATCCAGTGGGAATCTCTCTCTCCCTCCCCCAAAAGGCTGGGGACTATGGCTGGATCCAGTCACCTTTCAAGACTGAGGTGGATATATGTTTGTCAGGTCGGGGGATCAAGGGGATAGGGGGCAAAGGCGGGTAATTGGAGTTGAGGTACAGATCAGCCGGGATCTGAAGGAATGTCGGAATAGGCTTCATTTGGTGGTGGGGGGTTGGGGAGGGGAGATATTTAAATTATGGGGTGGGGGGGCAGAAGTCACAATTGATGTCAAGAGTGTTTCAGATTGGGTTTACAAAGCATTCCCTATAAATGACCACCATAAAGATAGCTTGATCCAGGCTTAATCCCAATTCCTGATCCAATTGTAAATTGCTTAAAGCGACAGATTGAGTTGCTACATTACCATCTGAGATTTCAGGCCAACTCTCTGATCAAACGGGGCTCGTTGAAAGGAAAGAAAAAGGGTGATTTTTTTTAACCCCCCACCCTTTGCAGCTGTGCACATTTCGCTCCAGATACAAATCAGTCGTTCACTTCACGGCTGGTTTTGTGGGATTTTGCTGTGTGCGCAACTTGGTCGCTACGTTCACACACAAGAAATATACAGTCAGTGCACACTTCTTTATCAGAATAATCTTTGCATTTGATGCAGCACCTTATCACGTCATTGAGACGTCTCAAAGGGCTTCACAGAAAATATCGCACAAATACACTGTCACTCCATTTCACAGTATATTCTGCGTGAGTTTCGAGACTTCTTTGCAACAGGATAAGGCACTATACTACATGTAAGGTCTATTATTATAATAAAGTGTAGTAACTGCGTATTGTGTAGGAGGCCCTGTAGTTCAGTGGTTACAGCCCTCCCTCGCAATAGATTTGATTCCCGGTAGGGCTAAACAAGTTTGCTCACACCTCTGTTTAACCCCGGTTGTTAATCGATTGGTGGATCACTTTTCTGGGGGTAAATAATTCCTTCCAAAAAAAACAATAATAAATTGGTCACTAATTTATTTGTGGGGACGCTGCTGTGCACAATCGTTTGTGCCGCGTTTCGCCCACAAAGTCAATTCACTTTACAGTATATTCTGGGAAGAGCTTTGAGACGTCTCAACGACGTGATAAGGCGCTCTATCAAACATCTCTGTGCCCTCTCTCGCCCCCATCTCAGTCTCCCTCATACTTTTTCTCCATCTCTTCCTCTCTCGCGTACACTTACTTTCTCTGTCTCTCACTCCCCACAATACTTGCACTCACGCCTCTCCACTTCTCCCACACGATTTCTACTTTAGTCTCACTCTTACCCCCTACCCCCCCTCCCAGTCCGCCGCTTCCCCTCACCCCCACACTCAGTTCTGGGAACTTTGCCCTTACAAACCCCTTTATCCCGAGCCTCCTCTCCCCCCCCCCCCCTCAACACACACACACACAACACACACACAACATACTGAACTGTGCTCAAAGGAGCTATGAAAGCACACGTAAACTTAAGTCAAAAACAATTCCTGCAAAGTGTCAGATATCCCTCTTCTCCCCCTTTCCCCCTCACCCCCCCCCCTCCCCCCCCCTCTCCCCTCACTTCCTCCCCCCTCTCCCCTCACTTCCTCACCCCCTCTCCCCCTCACTTCCTCACCCCCTCTCCCCCTCACTTCCTCACCCCCTCTCCCCCTCACTTCCTCACCCCCTCTCCCCCTCACTTCCTCTCCCCCTCTCCCCCTCACTTCCTCTCCCCCTCTCCCCCTCACTTCCTCCCCCTCTCCCCTCACTTCCTCACCCCCTCTCCCCCTCACTTCCTCACCCCCTCTCCCCCTCACTTCCTCACCCCCTCTCCCCCTCACTTCCTCACCCCCTCTCCCCCTCACTTCCTCACCCCTCTCCCCCTCACTTCCTCACCCCTCTCCCCCTCACTTCCTCACCCCTCTCCCCCTCACTTCCTCACCCCCTCTCCCCCTCACTTCCTCACCCCCTCTCCCCCTCACTTCCTCACCCCTCTCCCCCTCACTTCCTCACCCCCTCTCCCCCTCACTTCCTCACCCCCTCTCCCCCTCACTTCCTCACCCCCTCTCCCCCTCACTTCCTCTCCCCCTCTCCCCCTCACTTCCTCACCCCCTCTCCCCCTCACTTCCTCTCCCCCTCACTTCCTCACCCCCTCACTTCCTCACCCCCTCTCCCCCTCACTTCCTCTCCCCCTCACTTCCTCACCCCCTCACTTCCTCCCCCCTCTCCCCCTCACTTCCTCTCCCCCTCTCCCCCTCCAGGCGGGAATTTTAAAAATCGTACAAGCGAAGAGCAATTGCTATTCGTCCACAAAATGCACAGTCACTCCACCTCACAATACGATCTGTGAGCACTTTGAGACATCTCGACGACATGATAAGGCGCTGTACCAAATGTGGGATTATTATTATCATCGTCGGATGAGGACAACAGTTTACTCGCACAATAAACCGCGCTTTATTCTGTTTGAAAACTGCTTCCGATAAACGGTTTGCACTCATTTTTTATTTATGAGTGATAAGTTTATAAGGCCCAACAATAATCAATAATAATCCTCGCATTTGATAGAGCGCCGCCTTATCACGTCGTTCAGACGTCTCAAAGCGCTTCACAGAATATACTGTAAAGTGCAGTGACTGTATTTTGTGGGCGAAACACAGCAGCCAATTTGCACGCAACAGTGTCCCACAAACAGTCGTGGATTGAGTGACCACAGAATTTTATACTGCAAAGTGTAGTGACTGTATATGTTGTGTCCTGTACATCCTTGGATTCCAACTCTTCTCACTGTTAGTTTAAGTAAGGATTATCGATGAAACATGACTAGTTACAAACTGAAAACAATTCTGATTTTTCTTCCCTCAAACTGCGGTTAATTGTTTCACACACCTCTGTATCTCATTCTTTTCTACATTTGTTAATTTCAGAATATTTTTCTCTGTCCTCTCTCTCTGTGTGTATGTCTGTTTCTCTGTGTTTGTTTGTGTGTCTCTGTCTGTTTACCTCTCTCTCTCTCTCTCTCTCTCTCTCTCTCGCCCCCTGGGTCTGTCTGTTTCTCTCTCTGTCTCTCTTTTTCTGTATTTTACACACAAACTTAAGTTTCCTGGAAATGTTTGGCATTATTTGTTCTCACTCTGTGACTTCCGCACACTCGCTAAACATTTAGCGAATTAATAATAATAATAATAATAATAATGACAATAAAAATACCAAATCAAACCGAGGGGGAAAAGTCTGCAAACATGACAACATGTATACTAACAAATAAACAATTTGCTTGGATATTAACTGTATAATAAAATCAGGCTATTATTAATACATATGCTAAATAAAAATAAACTTCATATGTCCTAGAGATGGTCATTTCAATGCGTGGACCTTCCAGAAAGTTAAACCCACGGTTCATGTATTAATTTTACAATCTTAATAGATTTGTTCATAATAAGAATATATTTTTTTCCTGAAATTAACAAATCCATTCGTGGGTTTAAAGCTTTGAACCTGTGTTCACGAATACATGATCGAAATAACTAATTACTAATAGTAATGATAATCCTTGCACTTGACATAGCGCCTTATCACGTCCTTGAGATAATTTAAATAACATTTTTTTTTCGCGTTCAAAAATACTACAAGTATTTTGCGTTCGTGAACCCGCGTTGTGAATGCGAAATAAAGTTATTGAATTAAATTATTTGATCATTTAGTTCACGATGACGGGGGCACGAAGGCCAAACAAATATATTCCGACACTGACAGAGTGCAAAAGAAAAGCTTTGAATGAATGCAAAACAAAAGTTATTTAATTTTTAATCAGGAAACTATTTCATTCGCTATTTAGTTCATGAATCTGAAATGAACACAGCAACGTTTTTCTGATTTATAAATGGGGGAAAAAAAAGCTGAATACCAGTAATTTTTCTAACAAACCGACTAAAAAGAGGCAATGAAACTGCAACGGAGGAAAGTGGTTTAGTGTAAAAAAAAACGAAATAATAGATATTTAATTCGTTTAAAATAGAAAAACACACCGAAAAAAAGGTGTGTGTGTGAGGGGTGGGGGGCGGTGGGGGGAATAAAATTGCAATGGGGGGGGGGGGGGTGTGTGGGGAGAAGTGATTTCAAAAGAGGAATAAAAACACCGAATATATAAAAAAAATGAGGGAAAACGAAACAGCAACGAAGGCGGGAAAAGAAAAAAAAGATGACAACGTGTGTGTGTGTGTGTGTGTGTGTGTGTGTGAAAAAAAAAGTTAAGTCATTTTCGTTTCTGAAAACCTTTACGGTTTGGGGGGAAAAAAAGAAAAAAAAAGAAAAAAAAAGAAAAAAAAAGAAAAAAAAAGAAAAAAAAAGAAAAAAAAAGGGGCGCATGAAATTGCGCCGAATTACCCAACGACAACAACAACAAGAACAAGAACAACAACAACAACAACAACAACAACAGGGGGTGGGGTGGGGGGTGGGGTGGGGGGTCCCGTGCTCTCACCTGTGTAGTCCGGTAACCGGGGCAGCAGCATCCCGGCGGCCGAGGCGCGGAGCCAGTGGTCCAGGTGGAGGGACCCCGCGGCCGTCATGGCTTTCAGGTGGTCGGGGTGGGTGGGGGGCAGTTGCGGGAAGGCGCTGTAGGTCAGGGCGGGGTGGGGGGCCCCCAGGGCCGGGTAGCTGTACATGGGGTGGCCGTACATGGCGGGCAGGGCGGCGTGGGGCAGCCCCCCGAGCCCCGGGGGGTGCAGGTGCAGCAGACCCGGCTTGGGGATGATGCCGCTGGGCAGGGCAGGGGCCGGCGGGGCTGCCGGGCCGCCCCGGGGGGAGGGCGTCTCCCCCCGCAGGCAGGAGGCAGGGCTGCCCGCTGAGCTCTCCCCGCCCGGGCTCCCCACCGGGGGGCACGGCTCCCCCGCCCCTCGCCCGCAGCTCGGGGGCTCCTCGGCCAACAGCGCGTCTATTCGGAAGTTCTTGGATTTCTCCAT